AGACTATTAAGACTTGGCTATCAGACACAAACCTAAAGCCATCTCACTCTTTTCTGATGCTGCCTGTATTTCTCTCTTGCATGTGCTAGAAAAGCCAGGATTATTTTTCCACAACAGTCATAGCTGAGCCTCACATACCTGATTTTTAATCTGCCACCTAGAAAGGTTTGCCCTAAGTCCCCACACACATCATAGTGCTGTATTGTGGCAAGGGAGATGTGTAACATCATAGGGCCCTGTGCACAAGAACCTGCTTAACCTGCCAGCACCTCCCTCGACAGCAGCCACAGCCTGTGGCCCCACTCCTGTCCCCTGCTCCTAAAATAACTTCACCCACACAGAAAGGTCTGACACATGCAAACACCAACATAGCAGTTAGATGAATCACCCTTGGAGCTGCACATGTGTTACAGCCATGATTTCCAAACAGGCATTTTGCAATATTCCAGAGTCGTAGCATTTGTTTGGGAAAGCTTTGGTCCCCTGTCCTCCAGTCACAAGCCTGCTCTCACACCTAAACCAGGTACAAACACTGCTATCTGTAGCATGAGGAGCTGAAATGGTAATTCAGCTTGAAGTTAAACCATGGGCTACACTTCCAATGATGTCAAACTGCTGCAGTGAAAAATTAAGGGGCATCCAGACTATTTTTGGATTTCACAACAATTAAAAAAGCAAGTGTGTTTCCTTCTCCCTAAGTAATGATGACATATTCTACATCCCAGAATGGGTCAGGCTGGAAGGGACCATAGTGACTCATCTGGCCCCACCTCCCTGCTCCAGCAGGGCCATCCCAGAGCACAGGGCACAGGATTGTGTTCAGAAGGGTCTGGAATATCTCCAGTGAGGAGACTCCACACTCCACTCTCTGAACAATCTGTTCAGTGCTTGGTCACTGCACAGAGAAGAAGTCCCACCTCCTGTCCCGGTAGAACTTCCTGGGCATCAATTCCTGGGCATCAATTCCATTCCCTCTTGCCCAGCACCACCAAGCAGAGGCTGGTTCCATCCTTTTATCACTCTTCCTTCCTGAAGGAATCTACTTTCATCATTGGTAATAGTAAGGATGTCTGAATTTTTTGAATGGATGCTTTGTGGAATTTTTGGAATTTTTGCTTTTTATCCCATGCATTTTATCTCAAAATTTAAAAATTATAACTGATTACAAAGCAATTTCATAAAGGTTCTTAAGTTCACATTGAGATTTTCCAGTAAAATGATAACTGATTATGAAGCAATTTTGTATGGGTTCCTAAAATCATATTGAGATTTTCCAGTTGCTCTCCTGACATCACTACTCGTGCATCATACACAATGTCTTATGCCAAATATTTGCAAGGATGTGCCCAAATCTCTTCTAAACATCTTCAATCTCAGTTTAAAAAACCAAAAAGTGTTTTAAAAACAAGGAAAATTAACAAGGCTGCCTTTGGGTTTTCACTTCCAGATACACCTCCAGTTATAGCGGAAGACCTAATTTCTAGTGAAATGCCCCAGGGCTTTGTAGTTGCTTCAAAGCCTTTCTCTCTGGCAGAAAGCAGACACACTTCCAGGATGCACAGATTTAATCCCAGCATGAGTTCTTCCAGAATCTATCTGCTATGGATACCAAACACCAAACACATTTCTACCAGCACTGGAAAAAAGGCCAGTGCCTTCTACATAGTGTTATCAGTATAAGTGACCCTGTGAGTCATTTTTGCAGTGACTCATTCCATTTTGCAATGAAATGCCAGTCTTGACTCTCCAGCTTCAAGACCAGCCTCTCCCTCACAGCCCCAGATGTGGAAGGAACCACTCACCCATCACCATTCCAAAATATTGCTGTGTTGAAATAAACCAAATTACCTTAAAATTTGTTTGGAAAGGTGAGACCAGAAGTAAGGCGCTTCGTGTTATGTTCCATGGACGAGCTCAAGAGTTTAGGATGCCCAGATGACATCAGCATTGGGTCTGTGACTTCCAGTTTCCCCTTTCCTCTCAAAATCCATCCCCAGCTCCCTGACAGCAGAGAATACATGTTTGTACAGCCCCACCCTTCACCAGATGGACAGATTCAGCCCAGCATCACAGTCACTGCAAAAAAAAAAAAAATCACTGAAGCTAAAAAGCAAGCAAAACAACCTTTAGGTTTTTTTCTCTTGTGTCTGGCTTGTACAGTCAGAGATGTTATTTCTCTACAAAGAACAAAATATTGTTATTATATTTCTCCTTTACCTGACACTCAAGAAATCTGTTAATCCCTGTCCATTGGTGGGGAAAGCTTTGTACTTTACCTCTCTGCAGTTCCAACCATTTATGCCTGGATTTTTAAGGGAGCTGAAACCTTTTAAAAGATTTGAAATTGTTTATGTAAAGAAGGCTAAAGGCCTCAAGCCAGCTGACACTAGTCCGTCCACATGTTCTAAAGGTGGAAAACAGGTCAAGGAGGCAAGAAATGCTGTAGTTTTTACCCAAGAATCCCACCATCCTTTAAAACAGTCAGGAGAGAAATCCCTACTCTCCTTTGCCTTGCTATATTAATCAAAGGATCAGGGTCCTGTGGATTGTGCAGTCTGAGGAGAAAAACTTTCCTGGTGAGAAGCAAATCTTCTCCTCTTCACTATTGACCGAAACAAGACATTTAGTTTCACATTTAAACAGGATAAAATAACTCAGCCTACTTGTAGAGAAAAGCTCTACAAATAGTGCTGTGTCTAAATTATTAAAAGTGTAATTTTAAAAGGGTTCTGGTAAACTCTGATTTCTTTTTATCAGCAATATCCTGAATTTGCTTTTCTTTGTGCCAGTAGGACAAAATAACTCTTTAACCACCCAGGGCAATTTTAAGTGCAGATAATAAATATTTCATGCAAAATGCCTATTATCCCATGAAAATACAAAGTTTCAAAATAATAAATCAGTTTGAAGTACTTCTACAAAGGTCATGAATTTCCATTAGTGATTTCTATTACGCAAAAATTTGGTTGATTACTATCTCATTCCACTAGTCAGAGAAATTCAGGTGTGGTCAGAGAATTGCATCTACCAGATTGTCACACCCTGGAAGAGTGAAACATAAATGTTCTCTCCAGATCCTTCATATAGAATGAAAAAAAAATAAAAAGCCACAGTATTATTTTCCTTATTATTTTCCTTCCATACTCTTGAGAATACTAAAGATGTACAAACACATTTCACTTCCTCATAACTTAATTTGCCAGGTGAATGGAGAGTGTTTAATTTTTTACAAACTCACTGGAGGTTTTTATTGAACAGGTCCATTTCTTGTCTCTGATCAAAAGGTTACTGCCCATGAATTTTAAGGAGAGCTGCTTTAATGCAGTATAAGCATAAAAAGCTTAATAATACAAAGGTAGGAGGGGAATTATCCAAAGTTCTTCTGTGATCCTTGATTTTAGTAACTTAAGGGAAGCCATACTACTGATACTAACTAACAGCATAAATTCTTAATGGCAAAGAGACAAAATAAAACCAACCCAAAAGTCACACAGAAAACCATTCTGAGCTCAAGACTGAGACACAGGACCTTCCCTTGCTCAGTTTCCAGTTACCATGAAAGTTTAGTCACATGCATTTGTTAATTCCATCCTTTCTGGATTTATATTGTTATGGCCAGCCTCCATCCCTCTGCTTCCCTTTATTATATAGGAAAAATATTATATATATTCCTGTTTTGTAACCTGCTCTGGGAAGTAGCTGCCCAAGCCAGCATCTCCCCCTCCATATTGCCTCTGGAATGTGCTGCATCTTGTAATTTATTTTGAGAACAAAAACTCCAATATGTTTTTATTTGCACTTCAGCATGGCTTTTCTGCTTTTACTGTTCTGCTTGGGTGTTTTTTTGACTCTTGATACCTGATTAATTCCTAATCCCACTGTATGAAATTAAGGTGCAAGCCCTCAGTTTTCATCCCTGAGCTAAAAGGCTCAGAAGCTGAGTGTTGGATGCCCTGTTACGATGAAAGGAAAATTCTTAGTTGAAATTTAACATGTTTTTTCTCACAACTGTGGTGACCTAAGGGCATATGCACAAACAGTTACCATGGATCAGCTGGCGGGCTGAAACTTATCCCGCCTTATTTTCCTAAAGTGGATGCTTGTAACTTCATACAGACATATTTGAAAGATTAAAGGAATTAAACTATGCTCTAAGTTTATCTTGTATGCGAAAACACCTATTTAAGCTAGACTGATGCATTCATTTTAAACTAAACATCCATCAGAGGCCACAAAGGTGATGAGGGTTCTGGAGCATCTCTGTGGGAGCTGGGCCTGATTAAGTGGGGGAGTCAGAAAGGGTTATTAATGCATATAAATATCTTAAAGCAGGTGTCAAGAGGATGGTGCCAGACTCTTTTCTGTGGTGCCCAGCGACAGGACAGGGAGCAATGGCCATAAACTAAAACAAGAAGCTTCACCACAACCCGAGGAAGATTTCTACAGGCTAAGGATGGCAGAGCACTGCAACGGGCTGCCCAGGGAGGCTGTGTGGACTCTCCCCCTCTGGAGACATTCCAAACCCACCTGGAAACATTCCTGTGTCACCTGCTCTTGGTGACCCTGCCTTGGCAGGGGGGCTGGACTGGATGATCTCCAGAGATCCCTTCCAATCCTAAGGATTCTGAAATCTATGCAAGAGCAGGTCGGGTTGGGCTGGGGGGGTTGATTAGCTATTAGGACGAAGTTCTTCACCCAGAGGGGTGGTGGGGTACTGAACAGGCTCCCCAGGGAAGCGACCACAACCCCAACCCTGCCGGAGCTCCAGGAGCGTTTGGACAATGCTCCGGGCACAGGCTGGGATTGCTGAAGCGGCGCCGTGCAGGGCCAGGAGCGGGACTCTGACGTTCCCCGTGCTTCCCCTCCATGCCGGGACAGTCCGAGCCCCAAGGATGGCCGTGCCCGGCCCCGTGTGACGCTGCTGGAGCGCTGGGAGCCCGCCCGGCCTGGGGCGGAGCGGGGCGGCCGCAGGTGCGGGGCGCGGCCGGGGGCGGCCCCAGAGGCGGGCGGGGGAGTCCCCGAGACACCCGGGCAGGGCCGCATTTAAGGAGCGGCGTCGGAGCGCGGTAGCCCGGTCGACGCGTCTGCAGCCGCCACCATGCCCGTCAAAGGAGGCACCAAGTGCATCAAGTACTTGCTCTTCGGCTTCAACTTCATCTTCTGGGTGAGGCGCCCCGGGCTGCGTCCCCCGCGGTGCCCGGCGGGGTGCCCGCGGGACGGCGATGGAGGGGAGGGGAAGCGCCGGGGGCCGCGTTTTGTTTGCTTTTTCTGATGCGTAGTTTTGGCTGTTTTCTCCACTTGCTGCCCCCCGGAAGGAGAGGGGCGTGTGCCCGGGTGCTCGCCGCTTTATTTTTCACGTTTTTGGGGTTTTATCGTAAGGCGGGTTGAGGGCGCTGCCAGGCGGGGAGGGGGTGCTGGGCTTGTGGCTAGCCCGCCCCCACTGAGCGTCCCCCAGCACTTCACACAATCCTCGCCGTGAAACTCCGTGTGCAGGTCGGGCTCCCTGCCGGCTTTCCCGGTGCCGGGAATGTGCTCGTGGTGAGGCGGTTCCTCGCAAGCCTGCGGTTGTCGTGTGTGTGAACTCCTCGTGTTGGTCGGAGCTGTGGCTTCCCTTCGGGTTTAATCTCTCGGAGCAGACCGGCACCCCTTGAGATCACGTCTCTGATGTGCTTCCGGGCCCCACTGTGCCTTGCTGGCCAGGCACCGTGAGAAAGCATGGCTGAGCCGAGTGGTTGGGGCTGTCTTCAATCACTCGGGGCGTGGGCACCTGGATTTAGCGCTGGCTCCTACATGGACAAGTAATACGGGAGCTGCTTGTGTGCCTGATGGATAGGAGCAAAGTGTATGGTTCAGAAAGCTGGGTTTTCTCTGGGCTGTTTGCCACGGTGGTGAAGTGCGTGTGTGGCTGTGATGTGGAGGAGTAAAGTCGGAGCTGCGGGAAGAAGCCGAGTCTGGAGTCAGTCGCAGCGCTGCCCGTGGGACGAGTAGAAGTTGCCGTGTTAATAGGTGAAGTGCTCGGGATGTCTCGATGTCGAAATGGGTTGTAGCAGAGTTGAGAATATACAGCTGGGCTGCAGTTGAGGGACGTTGTACAGAACTTGACCCAGGAAAGCATATATTGCCACCCGGGACTCTCTGGACCATGAACAGTCGCATTTGCAGGGTTGGAGGTGATCAGAAGGAAGAGCCTAATAAAGCACTGCCTGATACTTATAGTCAGTAAGGTTTTAAATCTCTTGTTAAAAGAGACTGGAGTACTCGTGCTTTGCCTTGTGCTTCCTTTGTTTGTTTATTTCAAAGCTGCAGACTTTCTGCAGAGTATTTTATGGGACAAAAATTCTTGTGGCAACGGCATTGCCTCGAAGCTCTTAACCTGAGCTTCACCACCTTGTTGTCTGGGGATAGGCTGAGAATCGGGAGAGGGGTTTTATTTAGCTCGGGATGTACCTGTTGCTTGGGAGTGTCATGGTGATGCTTTACTCCTACCTTTAGGGGTGCTCGTGAATACAGAATTGTACTGGTGACAGAGTGGATGGAAGAAGAGTGGTGCTGCTGCCCAGAGGAGCTGAGAGATGATGGTTTTTCAAGTTGGCTTCTTGAGGCTGGCAGTATGCAGCTAGGATGTGGGAAGAAGAAAAGGAAGAAAAAAGAATTAAAGGGAGATAAATAAATGCATCTTGGAGACTCCCAGTAAGTGTGGGAGGCCCCAAGAGGCAGTGAAATGTAAGCAGCTTGGCTCAGCCAGAGATAAGTGTGTGTTTGACCAGCTGGAGTGATCCTTGGCTCATGGGGACCACCACATGTCATTGTGGCCTGCTGAAAATAGTTGGAGGGGCATTTAGGGGGTACAGTGTTAGCAAACCTTGTGTCCTCTCTGGGGAAATAAAGTAGCTGTAATATCTTGGGTTATTCCACACTGAACAGTATAAAAAGAAAGGTGTTCTGGGTCTGCCAGCATTAAACGACAAGAACCACCCTAATAAGAAAAAAGGCTTTAAAGTTTTTTTATGGCTTTGCAGATGTGAAAAGTCTGTGAAGTAATGGCAGTATGCTGACAAAACTTGTTGTGCCCAAGTGCAATTCTGTACCTCCTTTTTTTTGAAATAAGTTGCCTCAAAAGGATAGGTCGGGAATTTCAGTGGTCTGCAGCAAGCCTGCAGATGCTGTGGTTGCCACCTTAGGTAGAATGTATTTGCTTCCACTGGAGGCTTGAACAAGGGTAAGAGGAAGCAAAAAGGCTCAAACAGCTTGGTAAAGGAAGTTATTGAAATAAAAAAAGAAACTCTCAAAGTTGAAGCTGTATCCAAAGGAAGGCGATAAAGGTTCATAAATGCTGGTGAGCCTAATAAAATAACAATAATGTTAGCCAAAGGAAAGCTATAGGAGTAATTTGCAAAAGCAAACCCAAGTAACATACCCCTCTTCAGACACATGATGGAAAGGGGATTTCTCAGGAAGTCCTTCCAGGCAGTAATAGCTCCAGGTATAAAAATTTAGGGAGCTAGGACTTTGTTAAAAAGCTTCCCCAGTAAAATCAAGTTCTATGCCATAACCTGTCTTTGACTGAATTCTGCACGGGCTTGAGCTGACCTCTTGATGCAAAGGAGGTGAAACAGGAGGAGCAGCAAATGTTTGATTAACAATTCTCCAAGGTCACAAAACACTTCAGAACTCTTAAGTGAGTTGTGATTAGGTAACTCTCCCTGCTCACCATTCCTTCTCTGTGCTGGAGGGCTGGAATGCAGCAAATTGGAGGCTGGGTTTTTGCTTTATGGTTGTCTGGGATAACTAGAGAGTAGCACATATGGAGTATCTGGAAAGAGCTTAGGAGAAGATTTTTGAAAAGCTGGTGTAAATGTATAGGAGGGACACTGGCTATTGCAAGGGAAGTCAGACTTCATGAAGCTGCTGCCTTGGAGCCTTTAAAAGCCTGAATGTTGGGGAAGGCAAGAACTGGGTGATGTTGGTTCCCTTCTTCAATGTCTCCTGGAAATCTCAGGCCTCTCGTGAAAACCGGGCAGTCCTGGAGTAAGGTCCTGGGAGTAAGATCCTGGCAAGAATGAGATGGCTGTTGGAGTGGAGGCAGGCCTGTGGTGAGGTGCAGCTCTGCTACTGAAGAAAGAAGCAGTGGTGCTGGTACAAAGTCTGGTGGTCATTATAGCCCCACCTCATCTGGAGGAGCACAGGGGTGCTGGCTGGCACCCATCGTCCAGGGTGATGGAGGTGATGGCTGCCTGCTGACACAGCAGGGGGAGATTCTCACCAAAGGCAGGCATCAGGTAATTCCCATGGGAGGCACCAGCAGGAAGCTGCCTGAAGATAGGAACTAAATGATTCAGCTGCTGTCATGGAGCAGTGAAGCCTTGGGAAAAAATAATCTATGATGGCTTTACAGAAGTACCAGGTGAGTGCTCAGTGTTGACAGAGCAAAAACAACTTCAGAAATAGACAGAGAAGATGGAATATGGTGTGCAAAGCTCCCAAAATTAATGGTGTGCTGGTGTCCCACAGTGCTGCAGGCTGCTCTGGTTGTCTGCCTGTCTTGAGAGGATCACAGTGAAGCTTGGTAATGTTTGGGAAAGAAAGAGGAGGGTTTCTGTCAACAGCAACTCTGTCTTCAGCATGGAAATGTGCTAGAGATCCTTAGAATCGTGACTGTCCAGGCAGTAGGTAGGGCCTGACTGTGTTGAAAGAGGCAGTGAGCAAGAGCTGTGGGATAGTAAGCCAAGAAAGAGGACATTTTCAGAAGAAAAGTATCACTGTGAGGACAGTGGTGATATTTTCTCCTCAGCAGATGTTGAGGAATAGGTTGGTCATGGGATACCTGGCTAATCACGGATTGCATTAGGTTGGAAAAGACCTTTAAGGTCATCTAGTTGAACCTGCTAACATGGAGTTCAGCAGCCTTTTGTTAATATTTCTTCTCTCAAGGTGCTGTGTCTTGGCACAATCTTTTAAGTGCTCAACATGTAGCCCAGGAGGCTGGTCCTGGGAAACACTACCTTCTGTTCTGTTCTCTTAACCCTTCCTGAGGATCCTGTGCTTGATTGATCTGACAGCCTTTCTCCAGCTGGGAAGGCTGGGCACTAACACTGTATTCTCTGAAACTTTTGCAGCTTCAGAGTTTGGCTTAAAATGTGCTTGTGGCCTAAGTGAAAGGAAGGGGACATCTTTGGATGTATGCACCAAGTCCAGTTAAGCATGGATCTGTTAAGTTTTGGGATTCAGTCCCCTCTCTGAGGTGTAGAAATTAGGGATGGCTGTGTTTCCTCTTGGGATGGAGTGTTGCAGCAGGCACCAGGCTGCAATTGTGCTGTCCTTGCTGGGGCTGGTGTTCTCCTATCCCATTTTGCTAACAGCTCTGCTATCTTGGCATGGCTAGCTAGTGCTGGCCCTGGCAGTCTGCTTTCTAGTGATACAAGTTTGAGGGCTGTTTTGGGGTGTGAGACTGAGGTGTGAAGCCTGATACAGAACTAATTTTTTTTTCCACCAGGCTGGCTTGAGCTTGGCAAAAAGTCAATGGAAACAGCACATTTTGTTCCTTAAACCTGAGCGGTGGAGTGGTCTTTGCAAAGTTGCCTTGGACCAACCTTAGTGTGAGCAATGCTGGATTGCCTTGAGTTGTGTAATGAGTGACTGCCTTTAGCTGTGCTCCCTTAAACTCCCTGGGTTTGCTCAGGCTTGTTGGTCCTGGTGATGAAGTCTTTTCCTAGGAAAACTATGGGCTTCTGAGCAACTTGGATCACACCAGGCAAGTGCCTGCCTGTTCTCCCACTGGCTTCCTGCTACTGAAACAAAAGCAAGGCCTTGCATTGGTAAACTTCAATGCTGGGTTTTCCCCTTGTGGATTTGTGGAGTATGAAGATATCTGCTGCTAATGTTTATGGTTTAATGTGTTTTAGGTAAGCAAGTGCTGTAGCAAAGAGGCAGAGTTCATGTTGAAGTTTTGAGCCATCATTTTCTTGCTCCTTTCCACTATTGGGCAGCTCTCTTGTCCTGACTTCCCACTCTCCAGAGCTCTGTGTGTTTTATGAATAAATGCATTTGTGTGTTGTAGTGCCTGCCTAAAGTAAGATGAGCAGAATTAGGCTTGGAAAGTCCTTTTCCTTCAGTAGCATGAAGATTACTTGACTTTGTTCTGAGCCATAATCTCAGCTGCTTTTG